AAATAATGAGCTGAAATACTGTGACCCAAGAAGACCAAGATCGTGCGCGTCTCAAAAATTGACAGAATGACGGTTTGCTCTCTTTAAGCGGACCCCAAATCGGACTGCAAACAATGAAGAATCAGCCAAGAGTACGTGAAGGGCGAAGGGAGAATCCAGGACAAGGATCAAACAAAGTGGTGAGTGCTGTCGGAACCTCCGAGGCCACGAATCGTCACCAGGCCAGCAAAAGTGATCCAATGCCAACTAGCTCCCTTTCTGTTTGCAATCTCCATTGATCCTATTTCCTCTTGACCTTCCCGGATTTCTTATTAAACATTTTTACTTCTATTTATTTATTTATTTATTTATTTATATATATATATTATCTAAGATTTAAAAGGTATGCTTTCATATGGTTCCATCTTATGCCAGAGGTTCGTGGCAGTTTAAGATGGCAAGTTTGGTGGCAAGTTCGGTGGCGGTGGCAGTTAGATATGGCAATGTGGGTGGCAGTTTCAGTGGCAATGAAGCGTTGGTGGCAAGTTTGATGGCAGAATGTGATGGCAAAAATGGTGGCAACCGTATTTTGGTGGCAAAAGGGGTGGCAACTTTGCATGGCAAAAATTGAGCCGGAAGTTTAGCAATCACATTTTGGCGGCAGCAGAGGTGTCAAAATTTGATGGCAGCTTTTTGGGCAGAAAAGGTTGCAAACACCTTCGGTCACAAAAAGGCGTTGAGTGTACATGGCACATGTTGACAGAAAGGGTGTGAGAGACTTTTTGGCGGCAAATGGGGTGGTAAGTTGATGGCAAAAGTGCTGGCAAAATTTGGTGCTACATCAACTACAGAGAAAGATGTTGACCAAAATCATGCCAGCCCTATTGCACCTTCTGCGGAGGCGACACCCACCGACCCTACGAGTTAAAGGACCAGATAACCCCACATGGCAACTTCTTCCAATAATGAGCACCAAATGTTGTAGCGGGGACGGGGAAGAAAGGAAAGACAAAGGAGGTGGTGGAGGACTGAGAAGTAAAACGACAAAATTGTGTGTGTGTGCTACAAAGTTGTGTGTGCAAGATGGTGTGTGTGAAAGTTGTGTGAAAGAGAGCGTGTGACAACGTTGTGTGTGAAAGATGGTGTGTGACAAAGTGGTGTGTGAAAGATGCTGTGGTGAAAGATGGTGGGTGACAAAGTGAAGTGGTGTGTCAAAGATGGTGTGTCAAAGATGGTGTGTGAGAGATGGCGTGTGAAGGATTGTGTGGTGAAAGAAAGTGTGTGACAAAGTGGTGTGAAAGATGGTGTGTCAAAGATGGTGTGTGAGAGATGGCGTGTGAAGGATGGTGTGGTGAAAGAAAGTGTGTGACAAAGTGGTGTGAAAGATGGTGTGTCAAAGATGGGGTGTGAGAGATGGCGTGTGAAGGATGGTGTGGTGAAAGAAAGTGTGTGACAAAGTGGTGTGAAAGATGGTGTGAAAGATGGTGTGTCAAAGATGGTGGGTGACAAAGTGCTGTGTGAAAGGTGGTGTGTGAAAGATGGTGTGTGACAAAGGTGGGCGTGAAAGATGGTATGTGAAAGGTGGTGTGTGAAAGATGGTGTGTGACAAAGATGGTGTGTGAAAGATAGTGTGTCAAAGATGGTGTGTGAAAGATGGTGTGTGACAAAGTGGTGTGTCAAAGATGGTGGGTGACAAAGTGGTGTGTGAAAGATGGTTTGTCAAAGATGGTGGGTGACAAAGTGGTGTGTGAAAGATTGTGTGTGACAAAGATGGTGGGTGACAAAGTGGTGTGTGAAAGATGGTGTGTGACAAAGATGGTGTGTGAAAGAATGTGTGTCAAAGATGGTGTGTGAAAGATGGTGTGTGACAAAGTGGTGTGTCAAAGATGGTGGGTGACAAAGTGGTGTGTGAAAGATGGTTTGTCAAAGATGGTGGGTGACAAAGTGGTGTGTGAAAGATGGTTCGTGAAAGGAGGTGGATGTCACCAAGCGCCACACCTGCCACGCAAAACGAAGGTAGATGTCTCCAAGTGCCACGCCTGCCACGTGAAACGAAGGTGGATGTCACCAAGCGCCTTGCCTGGCACGCAAAGTGGAAGTCGATGTCACCAAGTGCCACGCCTGCCACGCAAAGTGGAGGTCCATGGTCGCCAAGTGCCACGCCTGCCACGCAAAGTAACGGTCCATGTCGCCAAGGGCCACGCTTGCCACGCAAACAGCGGCGGTGGGAACCAAGCGCGCCACCAGAGCCAGCCCAGTGCCATAAGTGCCACGCCTGCCACGCAAAGTGGAGGTCCACGTCACCAAGTGCCGCACCTGCCACGCAGAATGCACGCACATGTCACCAAGTACCACGCCTGCCACGCAAACAGCGGCGGCGTCCACGGCGTCAACTGGGAACCAAGCGCGCCACCAGAGCCAGCCCAGTGCCATAAGTGCCACGCCTGCCACGCAGAATGCACGTAGAAGTTGTGTGTGGACAAGTGTGGACAAGTTGTGGGAGGACAAGTTGTGCGTGAGCGATTTGGTGAGGACATGTTGTGTGTGAGCAAGTTGTGTGATGACAAGTTGTGTGTGGACAAGTTGTGTGAGGACAAGCTGTGTGTGAGCGATTTGGTGAAGACAAGTTGTGTGTGAGCAAGTTGTGTGATGCCAAGTTGTGTGTGAGCGATTTGGTGAGGACAAGTGTGTGAGCAAGTCGTGTGATGACAAGTTGTGTGTGGACAAGTTGTGTGTGGACAAGTTGTGTGAAGACAAGTTGTGTGTGAGTGATTTGGTGAAGACAAGTTGTGTGTGAGCAAATTGTGTGATGGCAAGTTGTGTGTGAGCAATTTGTGTGATGACAAGTTGTGTGTGGACAAGTTGTGTGTGGACAAGTTGTGTGAGGACAAGTTGTGTGTGAGCAATTTGTGTGATGACAAGTTGTGTGTGAGCAAGTTGTGTGATGACAAGTTGTGTGATGGCAAGTTGTGTGTGGACAAGTTGTGTGTGGACAAGCTGTGTGAGGACAAGTTGTGTGTGAGCAATTTGTGTGATGACAAGTTGTGTGTGAGCAAGTTGTGTGATGACAAGTTGTGGACAAGTTGTGTGTGGACAAGTTGTGTGAGGACAAGCTGTGTGTGAGTGATTTGGTGAAGACAAGTTGTGTGTGAGCAAGTTGTGTGATGACAAGTTGTGTGTGAGCAAGTTGTGTGATGACAAGTTGTGTGATGACAAGTTGTGTGTGGACAAGTTGTGTGTGGACAAGTTGTGTGTGAGCAATTTGTGTGATGACAAGTTGTGTGTGAGCAAGTTGTGTGATGACAAGTTGTGGACAAGTTGTGTGTGGACAAGTTGTGTGAGGACAAGCTGTGTGTGAGCGATTTGGTGAAGACAAGTTGTGTGTGAGCAAGTTGTGTGATGACAAGTTGTGTGTGAGCAAGTTGTGTGATGACAAGTTGTGTGATGGCAAGTTGTGTGTGGGCAAGTTGTGTGTGGACAAGTTGTGTGAGGACAAGCTGTGTGTGAGCGATTTGGTGAAGACAAGTTGTGTGTGAGCAAGTTGTGTGATGGCAAGTTGTGTGTGGACAAGTTGTGGGCGGGAGGGGCGGGAGCCGGAGGAGGAGGCGGCGGCGGGATACAGAACCAAAAACAAGAACCCCACACAAAGATGTGGGGAAAAAATGTTGAGGGCTTATTTTGGCAAAAATCAACCTTATTTCTTGACGGGCAGGTGGGCAGCTGCCTGGGCAAAATTTGGCTCAACATTTTTTCCCCACATCTTTGTGTGGGGTTCTTGTTTTTGGTTCTGTATCCCGCCGCCGCCGTTTTTGGTTGCCACCGTTGCCCGTCAAGAAATAAGGTGGATTTTTACCAAAATAAGCCTTATTTTTGACAAAAATAGGCCTTATTTTTTGACGGGCAACGATGGCAACCAAAAACTAGTGCGGTTTGTCTTGAAAGGACAATGCGCGTTTTTGGTTGCCATCGTTGCCCGTCAAAAAATAAGGTCGATTTTTGTCAAAAATAAGGCTTATTTTGGCAAAAATCGACCTTATTTCTTGACGGGCAGGTGGGCAGCTGCCTGAGCAAAATTTGGCTCAACATTTTTTCCCCACATCTTTGTGTGGGGTTCTTGTTTTTGGTTCTGTATCCATCCCGCCGCCGCCGTTTTTGGTTGCCATCGTTGCCCGTCAAGAAATAAGGTCGATTTTTGTCAAAAATAAGGCTTATTTTGGCAAAAATCGACCTTATTTCTTGACGGGCAGGTGGGCAGCTGCCTGGGCAAAATTTGGCTCAACATTTTTTCCCCACATCTTTGTGTGGGGTTCTTGTTTTTGGTTCTGTATCCCGCCGCCGCCGTTTTTGGTTGCCATCGTTGCCCGTCAAGAAATAAGGTCGATTTTTGCCAAAATAAGCCTTATTTTGGCAAAAATCGACCTTATTTCTTGACGGGCAACGATGGCAACCAAAAACTAGTAGGGTGTGTCTTGAAAGGACAAGCGTGCGCGTTTTTGGTTGCCATCGTTGCCCGTCAAAAAATAAGGTTCGATTTTTGTCAAAAATAAGGCTTATTTTGGCAAAAATCGACCTTATTTCTTGACGGGCAGGTGGGCAGCTGCCTGGGCAAAATTTGGCTCAACATTTTTTCCCCACATCTTTGTGTGGGGTTCTTGTTTTTGGTTCTGTATCCCGCCGCCGCCGTTTTTGGTTGCCATCGTTGCCCGTCAAGAAATAAGGTCGATTTTTGTCAAAAATAAGGCTTATTTTGGCAAAAATCGACCTTATTTCTTGACGGGCAGGTGGGCAGCTGCCTGGGCAAAATTTGGCTCAACATTTTTTCCCCACATCTTTGTGTGGGGCTCTTGTTTTTGGTTCTGTATCCCGCCGTGCCGTTTTTGGTTGCCATTGTTGCCCGTCAAAAAATAAAGTTTTTGTCAAAATAAGCTTATTTTTCAAAAATGCCTTATTTGTGACGGGCCGATGGCAACCAAAAACGTCCAAGCCGTTTTTGGTTGCCATCGTTGCCCGTCAAGAAATAA